TTCATAATTTAAGTCCATGAAGACTGATGTATCAACTGTAGAGATATTGTCTACAGAATAAATACTTTTAGAAGTAAGGAACATTGAAAAAACCCTATTCTTTAACAATTTCAGAGGGGTTTCTTTCTTTGCACCTGTGGTTGATAGCTGAGAAAGTAATTAGATAATGCACATAGAATAGGCACAGGATTTGTTGTAGGTGATCCCTGAGACTAATTCTAATCCTCCAGAAAGCTGGGCTTCTTGATTACCTAGGCTAAATGCAATGTAAGGCTGTAGCTGGAAATACAACTTGGACTGTTGTGCTTTGAAGACTGACTTGTTTCAAACTGATATGGACCCAAATAAAGAAAAAGCAGTACATTCTTAAAAAATAAATTAAAAAAAACTCCAACAAACTAAACAAAACAAAAAACACAAACCAACAAAAAATCCAAACACGCCCCCCCTCAAAAGCCCAGAACAGCAACAAAAAACCTTATCTACTAACATCTGCCTCACATTGTTAAATGAATATTTAATTTGCTTAGAAGAAAACCCAGTAATCATAAAATGGAAGCACTAATGATGTTAAAGCAATTAGAGGTGGAGTATTCTATCAGATCACAGAAAATGCCTCTGATAATGGAACAGTTCAGATTGCTACAGAGGATGGATCATATTAAACTGGCACTTAGCTGGATCTTAATTACCACATGAGCTTCAGCCAAGGAGAGTGCAGACAAACTTTGGAGAAGCTGCCTTACCTTTGCTAAATTGCAAAATAAACTAGGCTGGAAGGGACTCTGGAGATTTTCTGGTTCAGTCACACACTCACAGCCAGGTCTAATAGATCAGGTTGCTTATCTGAGTTTTTAATATGTCCAGGGTTGGATATTCCTCCACCTCTTAGGTCCCAGTCTCCAGATCACCACTGTAAATAATTTTTTCTAATGCCTAAATGGTATTTCTCATGTTGCCGCTTGTATCTGTCACATCTTAGCACTTTACTAATCACTTAGAGGAAGAGTCTGGCTCTCTATATACCATACCTATACCGTGTCCTAGGTAGTTATAGACAATGATCTGAATGCCTCCAAGTCTCTTTTCCAGCTTCAACAATTTTAGCGCTCTTATCCTCCCTGTGCCCATCATGAGCTCCTATTTTGTCCTACTATCTTGGTGGTCTTTGCTGGACTCGCTCCAGTATGTCAGGATCCCTCTTGTACTATGGAGTGAAAACCTGGACTTAGTGTCCAGGTGTGCTCTCAAAAGAGCCAAGCAGAAGGGAACTATGATTTGCCTTGGCCTGCTTAGGACACTCTTGCTAATACATTGCGGGATGTGGCTGATGTTCTTTGCCCTGAGGGATCACTGCTGACTCCTGATCAACTTCTTGTCCAACAGGACCCTCACATCCATTTCTGAAAATCTGCTATCAGTCAACCTAAGCCTGTGTTACTGTATGGGAGCTTACTGTCCCTGACACATGGTTGGTGTTTTTTTTCTCCTGGGGGTCGTTTCAGGTAACTTCTCAAGGCTTTCAAGGTCCTTCCAAATGGCAGTCCTGCCCTCCAGCATGTTGGTTGCTCCCAACAGTTTGGTGTTATTGGAGAACTTGCTGAGGGTGCCCTCTTTCACCATTTAGGTCACTAATGAGGATTTCTGAGTAGCCATCTCAAGTGCTCCCTACCCCTGCCATTCCAGCCCTAGGGCTCAGCAAAGAACAACCTGTCTGTTATGCTGTTGCTTTGAGTAAGAAATCACCCAGATCATAGGCATGGACAATGTAAGAGCTTGGGTAAGTGTATACTCCAAGACAGGACTTGAGAGAAGCTAACATTGTGCTTCTTTCTGCTCAGGACTCTGACTAACCTTACCTATAAGGAATAGGACATGGTGCAGTACAGCTTAATAGAGGAGATAACTATATGGTAAATTCTCAGCTGAATCCCAGAACAGAAGGAAAATAAATAAATTATCTTGGATTCAATGAATACAAACCCTCCTAGGTGGATGTGCCCATGTTCTTCCCTGCCAATGGTAGAGGAAAATGGTATAAGCTGTAGATGCCATTAAAATCAGGTTGTTTTTAGCACAGAAGACAGTCTTGCACGTCCAGCATGCCTTCTAGCTTACTGGTCCAGCGGTGCAGTTCAAGGGGTGGTTGCAATGGCTGAAATCACTACTGTACTGTTCCTACCAAGAGATGGGTTTGCTTGTATTTAACACGAGCTCTGGCAAGGACCTGGGTGAAGAACACTGTTTTAAGCTCATTCAGCCATAGAATAGAATGACAATGATGGCTATCAGGAAACTCTTTTCCAAACATTTAAAAACTTAGTCTTACACAGAGTTTGATAATCCTTTTCAAGTAATTTTAAGTAACAAATAAATTGAGGGAAAATTATACAATCTACCTGGTTTGTTTGCAGGGAATTCTTATATAATCACAGGCAAATAGATACACTGCCTTCTAATTCAATGCTTTTCCCTTTTTATGAATCAAAAATCTCAACTTTTTTAATTTTCCATACAAAACTTTGTCTTGGTCAGGCCATAAATACTCCTTGTTAATAAGATCACTTCGCTTTTTAAAAAAAGTACTTTTCTTTCTCAAAAAGGGCACAGAGCAAATTGAAATGATCCTTTTTAGAGTAACATGGCTAGATCTTACAAAACAATGATTCATCTTTCTTCCCAGAAACCCCTACCTTTTCTGGGAAAAATTTCAAATGAAATCATCTTGTTCATGATTTCCCTCGAACACACACCTGGATTTTTCAACCAACCCCATTCCAAATGTTAATGGTGACCTGCATATTTTTCTTCTGCCTGGAAGTAATGACTTTGTAAAAATGGAAGCTACAATTACTTGTATGGGAAGAGAAACTTCCAGTAAAAGTCTGCATGCTAATTTATCTACAGAAACCATACAAAAATTGACATTAGACATAGTCAATCTAGCAGAAAGGCACACATGTTCAGTGCTAAGTGGGATTAACTACTGGAAGTGTTGCTGCTGGACAGGTGTCCTGGGTTGAGTGAGTGGTGGAGGCCACCCCGATAGCCCCCTCCCCTGCCACCAAAAAACTCCACCACTCACTCAACCCAGGACAACAGGGTAGACTTGATAATTTAAAGTATTTAAGTCAAGTCTGGATGCTTGTCATTAAGGTGTTCTCAGCTCTCAGAAAGTGGTTATAGACTTGGTGCTCAATTCATTGAGTTGAATTCTCTAACAGCTCTCCAATCTCAGCTCAGGCACTTTCTAGAGTGGTACCTGGGTTCCTCTCCTTCTTCTATGTCCCCAGTGGAGAGAAGGTTGAAAAAAACCCTCAGAGATAACAAGCCTAGTGTGAGGAATGGAAGATGAAGTCTGATGTGAAGTGCTGCAGGTGTATTGGATTTTGGCTAAGGGTTCACATCACAGATGCCCAACCACATGGTCACACAGCTTCCTCTGCATGAAGTTGGATAGCTGAGGTTTGACAGGGTTTAGAAGTGCGTGACTTGTCTGCCTGATACAGTGTAGTTTTTTTGAGATGTCATTTTGAACTGTGATGAGAAACCACAAAATAGGGGCCAGGCTGCCTGGCACAGTCCTGACTGAGGAGAATGGCCTCCATGAGGGGTTCAGGCTTTCCCATGGATGGACTTCTACAAGTTTTCCAGTATTGCTGCTGACCTCTTATAGTAGATGCAAGCCTGCAGAGAAGTGACCTTTCCCGTCTGGGTCAAGGGTTCCACAGGAATAGTCTCTGGATGCTGAAAGGTGTGCTGTCCACAGGTGGAAAAGCAATGCTATATAAGGTGGACTGCATAATGGTTCCAACACTGACCTTACATTTGGAAGATTCGTGTTAAGGATCTGAGATGTAAAACTTGCTGAACCTATTCTTGCAGGATCCCCAAATCCTTGCCCTTCTAATAAAACCCTTTATGACTCTGGTCTCTCTGCAATTGCTTTCTACAAAAGATGGTGCTTAGTGTTGTAAGCGATAGTGGTGCACAAGTATAATGGTTACGTAAGTAATAAATAAATATTGCTAGAAGACAAGAATTCCAGTCTATACATTTCCTATTGTTTTGTACCTGAATCCAACTGATTGATTTTTCTGCGTTGTGTGTGTGTGCTTTCTTTGCAAAAAGGAATTGTGAGAGAAAGCATGAATGCTCTCGTATGCGAATTATGAAGGAACAAGTAATTTTCCATTATTTATCATTCACAGGTTGCTTGTCTGTCCTTATTTCATGCCCAAATCTCAGTGATCCAGCTGTAGAGCATTCATCTGAGACTCTGACATCTGTCATGAACTTGAAAATATTTGGGCCAAGACTCACCAGACTTTCCTGTTAAAATAATATTTCACTGAAATCTTGATATGAACCTCAGTCATCTATGTCCTGAGCAAGTGAATATCAACCAGATGAGAAGTAACAAACATATACACAAATCTTCAAGAGCTACCATCATCTTTATTCCAGCTCCATTGTTTTCCTTGGAGTTACCCAAAAGATAAATCTGATTCCAAAGTACTGTTGATGAGTGGGTGAGTTGATGTGAGTGGGGTGGCTTAAGAGTTTTCCAGATTTCTGCATCACTTTAGGCAAGGGGAAAATATTACCTCTTTGGCCTTGACTGCATTCTCACTTACAATGGTATGTGAATATACCACTTACACTGGTATATTTGTACCTGAGTTACATGGGTGCAAGCAAGAGAAGGATTGGGCAAACTGTGCCTAAAGCCCCAGTGGATTTGAGAGCCTTCTCCAGCAGCTTAGGAAGCTTTTCTTTCTATCCTTAGTAACAGAGTCCTGATTAACCCTCCAAGCTGTGGTCAGTCATTTTGAGGACAGTTTGATTGACAGCATGTAACCTGCTAACTCATTTTCCTACTTTGTCCAGTACATTAGATCCTGGAGGTGGTTGGTTGGCTGTGCTGTTTTGTGGGGTTTTTTTTGTTTTTTTTTTTTTTTTTGTTTGTTTTTTAATTATTTTGTTGATTTATTTTTAAGCTCTTGGATAGTCTGTAAGAAAATGTCATCTTAGGCAAGAGGCATTAAGTATTTCACTGTAAGTACAAAAATATACAGTGAGACTCCTCCATTATGTATTCACAAAAAGATATATTTGGGCAAGATGACCATTTTTGTTGCCTTGCCAGATATACAGTAGAATCCCCTTCCATTCCGAAACTTCAAATCCACAATGCAAAACTTCTTCCTGTGGGAACTGTTTATATTTCATGTAAGGTTTTTGTGGAAGGCTCTTTCTTCACATTATTCATGGCTTCATAAAAGCAGACCTGACGGATCAGCGAGGCTTGGGTGGGTAACCAACTCTATCCCCCAAAACCTAAAGAACAATGTTCTTTTACATTGGTGATCCCTTAAGAGTCTTGTGAAATTATTCCCAGAGAAAATTAGTACTGGGAAATATGTTATAATTTGCCCTTTATTTTAATTTTTTATACTTCTTTCAATATGATTTAACAGCTTGAAAAAAAGTAGAATAAGCAGTTAGATTTCTGGGAGTGTAGCCAGCATATTGTGGACCACCATTGGTCCAGGGACTACAATTTGGATAATGACTTTGTTTGGAAATTATGCTGTTGATGTCTGAAAGTGCTAATGTGTGACTCATGGAGAAAAGTTAAAGCCACCTTTCTGAAAGCTGTTGAAAAATAGAGAAATTAGATTATTTTTTTCCCTGAAAGATAGAGTGATGGATTGACCTTTAACTGGGAAATAAATAAGTGAATAATTGCTTGGTGAAATACTTACATGGAAAGAATATATCATACTGAAATCTTTGTCAGTGTGCATGGATATAAAAAAGCAGAGATTTGTCAAAATAATAATCTTTCAAATCGTGCCTAATGTCTTTTCTCACCTAACTGAGGTTAAACTTCCATTTTTTGCAGGAGTGGATTTGCTGTAGTACAAAGTGCAGAAATAGTTCACTTGAGAGTAGCACATTATTAAAATCATGTTCTTGTTCTAAAATGTGGAGAAAATCAGCATTTACAGCTTTTTGAATGCTGTACCTCTGCAATCAATGACAACTTTCCCATTAATTACAGTGGTCACTGAACTGGTCCTCCAAAGAATAATTAGTGAGTAGCATGACTATTTTCTTGAAACTAGAACTTTATTCAGCTGCTGAAAGAAGTGTAACCAGGAGCAAACTGTAGGAAACATGTCGTTAGAAATACATTTGTTGAAGCCCAAAAGGTGGGACTCAACCTCCAGATTTAAACACCAAAGTCAGCTTAGCTTTAAAAGTGAAGGACACCAGCTGCTGCATGACAAGCTGGGCAGGTCGTTCTCCTCACATCTGTGCTTACCACGCTGATTTCAAATTTTCCCACTGTTTAGCAGAACCAACTTTTGTAGTCCTTTTTGAGGTCTTGTGATGTTTCTTACCATTATCTGTTTGCATAACTGCCATGGATTTTCATCCAGACCTTACCTTATCACACTATGATGTCACCATGTGCAGATGTTCTGAAACCAGACCACTCTGCCCCTCGGTACCCTCAGGGCTGCTTGTGTGCTACAACATGCAATCACTACATGAACAAATTCAGTTTTGTTTTGTTTTTTTGTTATACGCCAGTTCACAAGGCTACAGGGTTACATGAGAATCTCAGCACTCTGCTTGTAAAAATAAAACTGCGATAATCACTGACTCTGATAGTTTCAGAGAAAACCTCAAAAATATAATCAAGGAAGACACAAAACTCAAAAGGACAACAATACACAAATATCAGGTTTTGTGGGTTTTGCTTGGGGTCTGACTCATGCTTTTTGTGCCTCGGGCAACTAACACTGACTGAATTCTCATTGGCATCTTCAGGACAAGGATGGTTTAACTGTGAGGAGAAGGGTTATAGCTACTCTTTCCACTGTTTCCTCATATCTACCTGAGCCAGTGAGTTCTTAACTCCATGTTGGTACAATCTGCTCTTCATCAAGCGTAGATGATAAAACTGTTGTGAGGAAAACAAACTTTGCTCCCATGTTATTCAGGCACCGATTCTGCATGACTCAAAGCCTATTCTGTTTCTCCTTCTCTTGTAGTTATTTTTAAGCAAAAGGGATGACTCAGGTGCCTGATGACCACCTGTCAACCACCAGCTCCTACAACTATGAGCAGCCCCTTCCCTCCGTGGCTCGGGCAAGCACGGTCACCAAGGTACCCCCGGCCAAAAAAATAACCTTCTTCAAAAGTGGAGATCCTCAGTTTGCAGGAGTCAAGATGGCCATCAACCAGCGACGTTTCAAGAGTTTCAATGCACTCATGGATGATCTCTCTCATCGGGTCCCACTGCCATTTGGGGTACGGACCATCACCACCCCACGAGGAATACATTGCATCAGTGAGCTGGACCAGCTGGAGGATGGAGGATGTTACCTTTGCTCCGATAAGAAATATGTCAAGCCTATTAGCATTCCTTCTGGAGGACATAGGCCAGGCCCTCCACGAAGTGGTCGACCCTCCAGTACCTTGAGAAGAGCAGCTCAGGAGAGCAAGATGGAAGATTATTCCACACCTTTCACCCAGCATGGCCCCAGAATACCCAAGAAAATCACTCTAGTTAAGAATGGAGACAGTGGGTTTCGGCGCTCAATTATCTTGAACCGCAGAAATGCCAGGAGTTTCAGAAGTCTCCTGGATGAAATTTCAGAGATCCTGCAGTACCCAGTGAAGAAGCTCTACACCACTGATGGGAAGAAGGCAAGTATCTATGATACCTGGTGCTGGTTGGTTATTCTAACAGATGTTAACACATCAGTGTTTGCGTTCTCTGTGATACAACTCCTTTAGGTCATAGGGCCAATAGTTTACCCACATTACCTTAATCTTTTGGGCTTGTGTAGTTACTGTCACATTGGTTACTTCCCCATTAATTACATGAAGGGGTGATGTAGAAGAATCTTGTTCAGCCATTCAAGAACTTCATACATCAGATATTGGTTTGGGTCAATGGGAGGCAACTTCTGACAGAAGCCCAGGGGCTGTATGTTTTGCAGCTGGGTATAAAACCCTAAATAAATGTTTAGTAATGGAGTTTCTCACTCTCTCCTGGGAGGCATGTCCCAACAGAAATTTAACTTTTCTATACATAACAACTGGGAATTCAACAGAATAAGACAGCCCTTAGGTAGCACCTTGCACTTACATAGTTCCTAAAAAAGCAGGGTTCTGCTCATGATGTGGGATCCTCAGCATTATGGTAATATAACTAATAAGTGCATAAGTGATTAGGGTATGACTAGGATCAGGAGACACATTTGTATTGATGATTTGGTGAACGTGCCAATTGGGGTGGACTCTTATAATAAATGTAGAGCATGACAACTCCTTTGTTCTTCTGTTCCTAAAGGAATTTGCTGACAAAGCTGAGATTCTCCTAATTTCTTCTCCATCTCTTTGTAATGTAGACTAGTCAGTACTTTCATTTCTTCTGACATGTTAGCCTGACTTGTCCCTGGCAATGCAACAGAGTCGAGTAATTGCCCTGCTCCTTGCCACGTTTTCCACCTTTACAGTGCTGTGTGCCAGCTCCTCAGTGATAATGTTACAACCATTTGTGGTGTCACTCTCTGACCCAGATGACTGAAATAACTTGGGTTCAGATGACCGATCATCCAGGAGGGAAAAAAGATGGAGGAATATTTTTAACCCAAACCATTTTAACCTGGAACAGGGACAGGAGTGTGCAGCTATGACGGCGAGAGGGAGGAGATAATGGTGCCTTAAGGCATCTTTCCTGGTGGAGGCAGCATGTCATATCACAGCATTTTCTGCCATGCCCACCAGAGCTTCCCGTTCTCAGCTGGAGGGTCCAAGGAAAAAGTCCTTCCTGAACATCCTACTGATACAGATTTCTGTCCAACCCTACTGATCTAGAGGCTAAAAGAGTGTCAGCACGACTACAGTCAGAGATGAGATAAAATAACAGGGAAAGGACAGTGCACACTTCACGTATGTCAAACAAGCGAAACTGCAATCTTGCTGAGAAACTGAGGGTCCTATGGAAACTAAGGATTTATGAAAACAGACCCAGGAGCAAGGGGGAAACTTAGTTGTGGAAAACCCAAGCAAGGCTTAGGATAAACAAAATAGAGAATTAATCCCCCTAAAGTTTAAGAGCTAAGAGTCAGTTGTCTAAGTCCAAGATGAACAAGCTGGCCACCTCCCTGTGGGATTCACCTTTTCTAATTGTGCCTAGAGTCTGTGTTTCTCCTAATGGAAAATAGATAAAAATGGCTCACTTGTAGGAAACTGCATGGTTCACATGACGAATCCCATCCCCTAGGTTATTTCAGCAGCCAGTGAAAAGGAATAGGCACTTTAGAGAGCTACTTTTCAAGTAACTGTCTAAATGACTGCAAATATCTGGAGCTGGATTAATTTCAGATTCAGCTGCCTGTATGCCAGTGTCTAAATGTTTCTTTAAGTGAGGTAATTGGCTAAGCTCCCATATAACTGTTGAGACTAAGCTGACAGTCCATTGAACTTGGAGCTGGCCAAGTAGAGGTGTCTAGAGGCCTTCAGAATCAGATAAGTTCTTTTTTTCTAGCTTCCATCAATTTATTTCCAAGGTGAAATAAATGTGTAACACAGCTACAACTACATTACTAAGTTAAAAATTGTTAGAGCAGGATGTCATCCTTCTCTTCTCCATTCTGCTAAATTCTTAATATCTTCCCTGGTTTGGTCTTGGCCCAGAGTAACAGTTTCCCAACAGTTTAGATTTAGGGCCTGGGGCCATTCACTGTAGGTGGTTTGGATGTGGCCAGCCTGTGTTTGAGCATCCAGGCTGCTTCAGTTGACCTTCATTCTGAAGAAAAGGGTCTGGCACTGCTTGTTTTCCTACTACAAATGTAGCCAACTCGGGTGAAGGAAAAAACAAAACAAACCCAACCGTGCTGCCAGGATGTGTTATAATTTATGGATAAGTATTTTATTTTGTCACAGATTTCTCCAGTTTTCAAGACTTGGACTTCTATTCAGTCCACATGGAGATAATAATCTTGTGTAGTGGTAATAACTTCCTCTTCGCTTCCATTTTTGAGAATTTTCACTCATTTCTCTAAAGAAAAGTTTTGTCTTTTACTTCTTAGTGCAGTCGTAATGTTCTCTTTGTGATTTTTAATTAAGTTTCCCACAATTTTTCTTCTAGTCACTATAAACACTGATATCTTAACTGGGATATGTACTAAATACACACTCTGTAAGCATAGTATCTTCACTATTATTCATCCTCCATCTAAAGACACGCAGTTATCTTTTACATTTTCAGCTCTGCAGTGGTGGTCATCCTCTCTAAAGACCTCTCTTCACCCAGAGTCAGATCTCACCCCAGTGTGCCAAGCCGTTACAAGACATGACTAGAATGACACGGGTACTAACTGACCAGAAGTGGTCACTGTGTAATATTTGAAGCTAATGACACCTACTAAGTTTTACATGCTAACAACTTTGCTGACAATTTAAGTGCCAAGCTATGTAGGTTCCTTTGGGAGACGTGATGTCAATAGTTTTGTCACTTGTTTTGCATCCCTACCTCCAGTTCAGCCTTTGTTTTTGGAAATGGTTCAGCCCAAGCTGCACATGAACATCACTTAATCACTTGAAAAGATTGATGCTCTTTGTTGCAGCTAGATTATCTTCTCCGGCATGCCACAGAGTTTAAGACTATCCTCTATGTAGTGATAATGATATTTTCTATAATAAATCCGGGGGGTCCCGTAGAGACCTTTCACTCCTGCTTTTTTTCCTCCCTGTTTTCCGTCTGCAGAAATGTGGTTGTGGATCAAACACTATCATTTAATCCCTTCACAGTCCCTTGGGATTTTTTTTTAGCTAGGAAAATTTTCACTACCATCTTGTCAATAGGCAGTTCATTTTCTGTACCTTATTAACTTAATTTTCACCCCTTTTATTCTCGTGTAGAATGTTGCAGTGATAGGTGACTATGGGTCCAACCTGGTCAGTGTTATTGTCTTACTCATAGCTAGGAAATGTGTCATATTTTCTGAGGAATCTTTTAAAGTGATTTTTTTAGCCATTCTGAATTTCAGTCATCTACCTCTTGATTATTTTTAACCGTTCATTACTGCTCATTCAGTGGTAATTCCTGTTAGGACTTCCTGGAGCTGTTATACTAGTCTCAAGTGCAAAGCATCTAAACCACAAAAAAAGTATCTTAGATTTTCTAATCTTTTCCTTTCACAAGGATTCTCTAAACCATTTCTGCTCCTGTCTAAGTTTTCTTGTCGTACCTCATCTTCAAGATTTCTGTTCCCTATACACAACTAGTTGTGTCCCAGAGTTTTTACTAGATACTAATGATTTCTTTGAGGGGTGAAAATGGCAAATTTGTTGCACCATTTGGGGGATTTCCTGAAATAAACTCCTTCAACTGGTGCTGAAGATTAATTTTGAATATATGTCTTGTCTTCATACTTACATTCGCATTTTCTCTTAGAGACAATGAAAACAAGCCTCCATTCTTCCATGACTATTCAAAGGTGTCTGGATGCTTCATATTTCTTGGGCATTTCCTTGTTCTTCATATTATTCTCTTTGAATAATAATTCAAATACTCTTTTAATAATTTTGTAAATTTCTTTTAACACATGTCTATGTAAAAGTTTGCAAGACTTATTACAGAGGCCATTATTTCTGGGATAGAGGGCTGGGGTTGAGGGGAACAGTAATGTTTGACATTAATTTCCATGATTTGACAGATTAGCTGAATAACAGTAAGATTCATTGCTAAGCAATGCATATGGACTATTGCTTGATTGACTGTATTTGTCTGACTTCGAATAACATAATTCACAGCATTTAATAATAGGTTTACAATGTTTCTTTTGCTGCTAGTTTTTTCTTGATCTCTTGAAAACTGAACGCAAAAAAGGAAAAAACCTCCTCTCCTACAGGTGAATTAATCTCTTCCATCAGTGGAAGTGCTATTCATAGTCTGAGGGTGTTACCCCTTCAATCTCCTGTTGTTTGTTTCTGCTACTATAACTCCAGATCTTAACTCAAATCTTAAAATAAGTTAAATCACCTCTGCAACGTAATGTATGGTTGGCATACACTATCCCAGTGGCTCTATTTAATATCTTTACCATTTTGTTAAGTCAATCCAGAACACTTCAAAATTACAAGCCTTTGTCTTCTTATCACACCTTTATCTGGGTATAAATTTAGACACCCATGGAACAGGCCAGAGGAGGCCACGAAGATGCTGGGGGGGCTGGAGCAGCTCCCCTGGGAGGCCAGGCTGAGAGAGTTGGGGGGGTTCAGCCTGGAGAAGAGAAGGCTCCGGGGAGCCCTTCGAGCGGCCTCCCAGGGCTTAAAGGGGGGACAGGAGAGGGGGGGAGGGACTCTGGGTCAGGGGGTGGGGATGGGACAAGGGGGGACGGTTTTAAACTGAAAGAGGGCAGATTAGGATTAGATATAAAGCAGAAATTCTTCCCAGTGCGGGGGGTGAGACTCTGGCCCAGGGTGCCCAGAGCAGCTGTGGCTGCCCCCTCCCTGGAAGGGTTCAAGGCCAGGTTGGACGGGGCTGGGAGCACCCTGGGCTGGGGGAAGGGGGCCCTGCCCGGGGCAGGGGGGTGGGACTAGATGATATTTAAGGTCCCTTCCAACCTAAAACATTCTATGATTCTACAATAAAGCAGAGAAAAGTGTTTTCTTTTTTTCTTTTGTAGTCTACA